TGGTGCATTTGAGCAACTTAGGGCTAGGTGTCACACAGGAAGGCAGAAAATTCCAGGCATAGCTTCACTCCCGTACCCTGTCTTTTCTCACAACACGTCCTAAAAGCTCCGAAGACCAAAATTTAGCTTGACTTTAATATGTTGCCCCACATTTCATATCACTTAATCTTAATATACTATACATTAAGTCTTAATTCCAAATGTACTTAATTTAAGCTAATTTAGGGATTGAATTAATTACTTATAACTGAACTCCACACGTTCTTCAGCTTACCCAAGCCACCCTCACAGGGCTGCGCAGGTGTGAAGGGGCCCTTTCTGAGGTCTGCCTGGAGCCCAGGGTGCTTGCCTCTGTCTCCTCACCAATCCCCAGCATCCGCCAGAGTAGGCGCCCCCACAAGGGCTCCATGCCAGGTGCTTCCTGTTTGGCTCGCGGGAGGATTAACTGCTTTTCTTTGCCAGGCCCCTGTGCAAGCCCCTGACCTGCAGGGAGGTCAGCTTGTCCATGAGTGTGCGTGTAACCCAGGCAGTGCCTGTGGTGGCACAGCCAGCTGTTACTTGATTGAAGCGAGGCTGAGTGTCGGGACTGAGTGGTACAGGGACAGGGGCTCCATCTGTGAGGAGAGGGGTGCAGCGGTTCAGAAACTGACTGGAAGCCAAAGACTCTATGTCTTTTCCCAGAAACCTCCATTTCCTGTTCACCTGCAAAACATCCACCAGCAAACATCTCAACAGTTACCAAGAAATGCGTGTGGTTTCGATTTCGGTTGTGAGATACGCTGCGGTTTTCAGCTTAACAGTATGTGACAGAAAATTCGAGTCAGGAGGGGAGAGCAAGAGGTGAACACAGGCGGCAGAGAACTTGGCCCTGACTGCGGCGCCCTGGCCAGGTGAGTGCATAGCGGCGCTTGGTTGTCCTGGCACTTCCTTCCCTTCACTGACTGTGACCATCAGGAATTAGCTCAGCCTCGGCATGGGCTGAGGAAGCGGGAGCTTTCTCCAGGGAGCTCAGCGTCGCAGCGGGGTCCCTGGGCGGCCCCAAGCGCCCCGTGTACCCAGGATGTTTTGCTTCTCTCAGGGTTTGCACCTGGGGCTGTAACTCTGAGTTCTGCTGGGGACCTGGGGACCGGGAGGGGCGCCTCCTGCCTTCCTCCCAGCAAAGCGGCTCAATCTGTTCTGGGAGGGAGCTGCCCAAATCCAGCTCCTGGCAGAGGCGCTGCTGTGGGGTCACTTTTTCCTCTCTTGTCCTGTTCTCGGACCTTTCCTGGCTGTTCTTTGCGGGACATAGGAGAAACAGAAAAAATTTCTACCTTAATTTAAATCCTCAGTTTGATCTGATTGCCTTTGGAGTAATTATTTAATATTCCAAAGGTGCCACAAAATTGCATTTCATGGAATTTCAATCTCACTTTCACTAATCATGTTGGCAACAACTGTAAAGTCTAATCACATATGTTTTCCGTGTATTTTCTGAGTGCTTGGTCCTTGCATGAACCCTATCAGAATAACTGTTGGTGCGTGTGGGAAGCACGAGATGGGAGGCATGTGTAGCCCTCAGCCCACCTGACTCTGCAGCACAGGAGCCTTTGGAAGCCCCTGGTGGTCCACCCCCAACTAATAGAGCAGCTTACTTGGTGTTGCAACTTTCCTGGTTTTGTGTCCCATTGTATGGATGTGTCACATTTTCTTTACCCATCGATCAGTGGGTGAACTCAGGTTGTTTCTACGTCTTGGCTGCTGTGAACAGTGATGCAATAAAGCTACGAGTATACACAGCGCTCCCCAAGACTAACTTCATTTCCCTGGCATGTATACCCAACTGTAGAATTGCTGCCTCACCTGGCAGTGTTATTTTTAGTTTCTTGAGAAACTTAGAAAATTTTCCATAATGGATGTCCCAATTTACATTCACATCAACAGTTTTTAAGGATTCCACATTGGTCACATCTTGGCCAGCATTTGTTATCTTTTGTCTTTTTGATGATTAGCCCCCCATCTCATTGGTGTGAGGTGATGGCTCACCATTGTTTTGATTTGCATTTCACTGATTATTAGTGAGGTTGAACCTTTCTTCATGAACCTGTCGGCACAAGGGACTACTATTCCTTCATTTTTTTTTTAAAAAAAAGGATGAAATATTGTCATTTGCAACAAAGTGGATGGAACTGGAGGACATTAAGTGAAACTGGAGGACTAAGTGAAATAAGCCAAGCACAGAAAAACACTTAGATCATGAGCTCACTGATATGAGGGATCTTAAAGAATTCATCTTATATAATTTAAGAGCTTTATGGTAATTTCCCGATGCTGAGAGGAGTGGTAATTTATATATTTTTATTTATTTATTTTTGAGATTTATTTTATTTATTTCAAAGACAGAGTTACAGAGAGAGGTAGAGACAGAGAGAGAGGTCTTCCATACACTGGTTCACTCCCCAGTTGGCCGCAACAGCTGGAGTTCCACCAATTTAAAGCCAGGAGCCAGGCTTCTTCAGGGTCTCCCACGTGGGTGCAGAGGCCCAAGGACTTAAGCCATCTTCTACTGCTTTCCCAGGCCACAGCAGAGAGCTGGATCAGAATAGGAGCAGCCAGGACTAGAACTGGTGCCCATATGGGATGTCGGTGCTGCAGGCCAGGGCTTTAACCCACTGCGCCACAGGGCTGGCCCTGGGGAATGCTAATTTAACAGGGAACAAGTTATAATTAGCTAGAAGTAAGAAATTCTAGTATTCTGTTGCACATAGGCTGACTACAGACAATGATAATTTACTAAATCTTTTTCTCTTAAAAATCTAGAAGGAAGGATTTTGAATATTTTCACCATACAGAAATGATGAATGTTTGAGTTGGTATATATGCTTAACATGATTGGACATTACACAATTCAAATATATATCAACACATTGCATGGCATTCCAAAATATGTATAATTTTTAAAAAATATGTATTTATTTGAAAGGCAGAATGACAGAGAAGAAGAGAGAAAGAGACAGAGAGAGAGAGAGAGATTCCCAGTTTCTAGTTCATCCCCCAAGTACCTGCAACAGCCTGCTTAACCCATTGCACCACAATGTTTGTCCTAAATGTGTACAACATTTATGTGTTAATTGAAAGTTTTTAAAAAGTAAAAGCAAACTCTTGGTTTATATGCCTCAGAATGCTTTGCATTAAAAAAACAAAAAAGTTATGTTAATCTATTCCTACCCAAACCTCAAAATATTTACTCTGAATAAAATATTTTACAGTTTCTCTTTACACAGCAATGAGCAGCTCATATTTCATTGACCTTGTTCTGCTCTCAATTACCTTTGCAAAAAACTGAGAAATTGTGCAGAGAAAATTATTAAATATCAATTAAAGCTTTTTTCTATCAGAGATTCTGGATATTTATTATTTCTTATTAATTTTCATCTTAGAGAACATATTGACACATATTAATACATTTCCTAATTTGCTCATTTTAGGAAAAATACTTTAATTATAGAGATTTTAAAATTTTCACTGTTTTCCCCAGTCCCATTCTCCCTCTGTCAGCCCTTCCCACTGGTCAGCTCTTGCTTGCTCATCCATGATATGGGGTGTGCCTTCTGCTTGCTTGCACCCTGGTAAGCAGTGTCACTTTACCTATCAGAAACCAGTCCTTTACTTACCTCCCTTTAGGGCTTATCTCCCATCCTCTCTTTTTTATATAGGATTGACTATTTCCTAGATGTGATTTTAAGACCATTGTAAATATTTTCAGATGTTGAATGACCACTAGATTTTTACTTATTACTGTTTCCATTTTATAGAAGAAGAAACCAAGGCGCAGAGAAGTTAATAATCTTTCTGGTGGTTAGTAATCTTTCTAGTACAATTAGATGAACATGTGAATGCTGCTTAGCATTTGGTATTTTTTTAGAAAAAAAAAAGTGACAGCCAAATCTCTTGGACTTCTGTCTGTCTCTGGTTTTCCTGACATGACCCACTTATTGCAGTGCTAACACTCAGAGGTGAACTTCACCCCGCTGTGGGATTCTGTCAGATCTGGGAGGATCCTAGATACCCTGGATTCCAGATCTCTTCTGCATCCTCTGTAAATGTCATCTGTTTCTGGCAGTTGAATAATTTCCTGAATGCCCGTATGTGTCTAGTTACTGTAAGCTACTGTCATGTCCTGTTTTGAGAAGAGCTGCAGTCTTTGTCTGCCTTCTTTCTTTCTTGGTCCTCCTCCTGGTTTGCTCCAGCTCCCACCAGTTGCTCACTCTTCCCTCATCAAGTTCCATGATCCAGCTCATTCTGCCTCATTCTCAGGGAGGTCTTCCCTACTACCCTTTCGATAAATTCAGTTTCCTAACCTCTCCATTCCTGTTCTCTGCTTAGTTGTTTCTGAGAACTTATCACTATTTAACATACTTTCTTTTTTCTTACTTGCTTTGTGCATTAACCCTCTTCCTTCTCTAATTGACCATGCAACAGGAATTTGAGTCCATTTTTTTTTTTTTTTTTTTTTTTTACTGCTTAATACCAAGCACTTAGAACAAGGCCTGGAACATAGTAGGTACTCATGAAACATTTATTGAATTAATGAAAGACACAATTTTTCTGGAATGCGTAGATTTTTTTCTGACCACTCTTCATCTTTTTCATATCATATTCTACCTCTACTTACCTCAAAAGTTAGTGTTCTTATTTTTCTGATATTAGTGGTTTATCTTTCATATTCTATTCTAAACAAGCCTGGAAAAAATTTTTAAAGTTCTTGTAGAAATCATAAAGTAAGATAAATAAAGCATCTCTACTGGGCCTTGGCATACTAGATGAAGTGTTTTTCCTTTAAAGACATACAAAATGCAGGAAATTGACATACACATTCCACAGGCAGAAAGTTCATACACATTTGACCTAAATAACCACTAGAGATGACTTCAGGATCCTGTATTCTACTGAAGTCTACTTCTCTGGGTTACAGGTTACCATGGCAACCGAATTTATGAATGCCCCCATCTGTCTAGTAGAAAATTGGGAAGGGAAGCTGACAGTGAATCCAAAAGCACTAGAGATTCTTCTCAACATCTCTCAACCTGTGGTGGTGGTGGCCATTGTGGGACTGTATCGTACAGGAAAATCCTACCTCATGAATCGCCTGGCAGGACGGAGCAGTGGTGAGTGTGGGCCTGGGGCAGGGGTCATTAGTGTGGGACCCGTGACAACACAGGCTGTATAGGCTGATCACTCCTTGTCTGAGGCCACCATAAAGAAGAGCATGACTCCTCCAAAGAAGAAAATTTCTCATTCCATCTCCAAATTTGTAACATTAACCTCACATGTCCAGAAAATCTCACTTTACACCATTTATAAAGAGTTCCCTAAGTCTTTCAAAAGTTCTACTCCAATAGTCTTCCTTTTCTTTACATTGTAAAATTTTACATTTATTTACTTGAAAGACAGAGATAGAGAGATGACAGACAGAGCTCTTCTGTCTACTGGTTCACTTCCCACATGCCCATAACAGCCAGGATATAAGTGGGTCTATGATGTTGATTGTAGCATTTCTAGTACTTGGTTGACCATTTGCTGCATCTCACAGTGAGTACAAGCAGGAAGCTGGATTGGAAGAGAGCTGGAACTCAAACCCAGGCAGCCTGGTATGTGATGTAGGTGTCCCAAATGGCATCTTAACAATGCACCAATCACCAACTAGTATTGCTGGCCTATACACTCTCACATGCTTGAGAGCTGGGCTCGAGTGATTACTCCCTTTCTTCTTTCTACATCGGTTTTGCCCAGGCTACATATTAATTTCAAGTAGCGCATAGGTTTAATTTAATATGTCTCTTTTTCCAGTACTTCTTGTTGAACAAATGCCAAACTATTCAGAATTTCTAGTTTATGACACACCCTTCTACACTCTTCGTTTCCAAACTGCTTCTATATTTCTCAGTCCAGAAGACAGGTCCTGTCTGCATATCTGCACAAATCCAGAGCTTTCTGTTGGCAGTAAGGTCCTTTTTTTGTAAGTAGGATCATGAAACACTTACATCATGCTTCCTATATCAGTTTTGTCCCAGCTACATATTCTTTTCAAATAGTACATAGTTTTAATTTAATATGCCTTTTTTAAAGAAATGGATACTCAGAAGCATGAAAAGTAGAATTCCTGTATATCTAATATCTAAATTGGGCTGCTATGTATTTTATGTTGTATCACTTCATATTAAATCTTTGATAAATTACATCCCTTTCTCTTTCTCTACTTATCATTTTTCAATATGCAAATTATAACATATACAGAAGAATACATAACACACATGTAAATGAAGTTAGTAGATATAAAGTGAATGCCTGTGTAATCAAGGTAAAAATTAAAACTTTAACAATACCAAAAAATCCATATCACAATCTCTAACACTCTCACTAGAGATCATCAATATATTGGTTTTCAGGGCACACGTCTTCCACTCTTGCTTTTTAAAAATTCTTCTAACGGGTTGGGAGTGTGAGTAGGAGGGGGGTTTGGGGAGGAAGAACCACTAAAGTTCTCCAGCACTTCCTGTGTATCATAATCCTTTCAATGGTGCTACGAAGTAGGTATTTTTAGCCCCAACTGGGAAGGAAACAGTGATTAAAATGATTTAAATAAATCATTTTGTTTGAATACATTTTGTTTAAATACTCCTAAATATTATACTCCTAAAGTTGTACCTATGAAATTTGCATTCATTAAGTAAAAGCTTTAAAAAATTAAAAAAGAATTGTGACATTGGGAATGCAGCAAACAAATATTTGCCAGAGGTCATGAGGTCAGGGAAATCCTGAGGATGCTTCCAGAGGCAGGTGGGGGGACTGCTCAGACAGTAAACACTGGATGCAATTCGGAAAGCTAAAAACGTTTAAACAAGATCTATATGTTGTAAAAATCTTCCCTACCTACCAAAACTAAGATCTCCATCTCTTGTCAAAGTTTTACCATAAAGAAAATGACTGATTTGTCCATTTTCATATAGTGGTACAAAAACAAAAACCCAGGAATGTCTTAAAAATTAAAAGTGAGATGACAAAGAATCAAAAGTAATAAAAAATATTTTTGAATGTCATGAACTGCATCTCTGTAGCATTCACTGTATGAATCTAAATACTTAGTAGTCATGAAGACATCTCTGAGTCTTTATATTCAACAGATCAGTAAGGTAATTAAAAATAAATTTGTTCATAATTGCATAATATTTAAATACTCATTGCTGTGAACTGAAGGCTTATGTCACTTCACAATTCATATGTTGAAATCCTAACTGCCAAAATGGTGACATTAGGAGGTGAGGGTATGGGGAAGTGATTAGGTGTTGGGGCAGAGCCCTCACGACTGGGATCCACATCCTTTTAAGAGAGCTCCAAGGGAGCTCATTGGCCCCGACACCATATGAGGAAACAGGGAGAAGACACCTACTGCGGACTTGAAAGTGGGCACCGCCCAACACTGAACCTGCCTGCAGCCTGATCTTGGATTTCCAGCCTCCAGCATGTGAGAAACAGTAAGTCCCCAGTTGGTGGTAGTTTGCCATTGCAGCCTGAATCAACCCAGACACAGACTCAGGTTTGCAAGACATGTTTTATTTCGGACAAATCATTTAAATCATTTTAATGACTGTTTCCTTCCCAGATGGTGCTAAAAATACCTGCTTCATAACAACATTGAAAGGATTATATGATGCGTATGAAGTGCTGGGCATAGGCTCTCAGAATTCAATAAATCTTAATCATTTTAGAAGCTTAACAAGGGCAGGGGCATTTTGGTTTGCCAATAACAGCTGTCTGTACAACACACAGAAAATTGTAATACATAGTTGGTGAGTAAATGAATCAATAGTGAATAACTATGGTTGCTATCGATAACTATTTTAATAACTTTTCATAAACTTAAATAACAGCCTAAACAGAATATAGTTGATTCTTAATCTTTGCCATAGGTATGTTGTATAAAGTTAGTTATGTTGTATAAATTAGTGAATACTGAGCCACTGCTCTTAGAAAAATAAGCAATTAAGCTCCTGTAAGCCTCTGGTCACATCATTTCTGCTTTGGTACCATTCAAAGATATCTTATTTAATGTACATTGTTGGGGCAGGTGCTGTGGCACAACTGGTAAAACCACCTCTTTGGACATGTGCATCCCATATCAGAGTGCCTAGTTTGAATCCTCGCTTCTCTGCACTTCCAATCTGGCTTCGTGCTGTTGCACCTGGGATGCAACAGATCATGGCCCAAGGACTTAGGTTCATGCCACACATGTTGGAGATCTGAATAGAGTTTTTGACTTTTGGTTTTTGCCTGACTTGGCCTCAATGATTAGAATTTGGGGAGTGGACCAGTGAATGAAGTATGTATTGGTCTGTCTCTCTCCATTATTCTGCTTTTCAAATAAATAAATAATTATTAAAAAAAATTCTTCTATGGTCTACGTATGCAATCTAATACCAGTTTATGTTGGCCTTTCTTTGCACTTTATTTAAAGGGATTATAGTGTATTTGTGTCATTATTTGCTCAGCAAGACATTTCCAGAATTCTCTAGATGTCACATGTATTGGTAACTTATTTATTTTTACTACTTCATTTTATGCCATTGTCTGAAAATACCAAAATATTTATGTATTTATTGTTTATGGACATTGGCGTTATTTCCAGTTTCTGTCTTTCATGAACAAGGTTGCCATGGATGTCTTCGTGTTTGTTACATGGTGCACGTGTACAAATCTCCCCTTTAAAAGATATGCAGGAATGTAAATGTGGGATTGGAGAGTTTGTGTGTCTTCAGCCTTTCTAGATAATAATTAACAGTTTCATGTGCAGCTTACATGTTTGCTAACAATAATCAAGGATGCTACACACTCTGCAAAATCTTGGTGACATGAATCAAGGTTTTAACTTTTGCTGATCTATGAACTGAATATAGTTCAATATTATTTATCTCACAGTGAGAGATTTTGAATAAGTTTTCACATATTTATTTGCCATTTGTATTTCCTGTTTCAAGAAATTATCCACTTTTCCCCCTACTGGATCATCTCTGATTCTTATTCACTCATGGGACAATGTACCCATTACCTTGCTTGAACTTTCTGTCTTTAAGAATCTTATGTTTTTCTTTAAGGGATTAATCTGTCTATGGCTCAAAACCATTAGGGAATGATCTTCTTTCTATTAAACTTTGCAGATCACTTAGCCTGACTCTTACTCTCTGCCCACTTCTCATCACCTCTGTCTTTCTTTCCCTCCCACCCTACCTCTCCCTGTCTCTCCCTAAGCTAATTGATCTCTTTACTCTTTTTGTTTCCAATCTTGCAATTGTCTCCCAAGTGATGCACTTTAATTTTCTTTTATAGACATTCTTGATCATCAATTGGGGGTATACAATTCCCCTTGTTTGGATCACATAAATTTATAGTACACATTTTGAGAGATGAAAGAGTTGAGAATTCTGAGACAAATATCAGAAAGTCTTAAGAACATTTTTTCTCTTCCCCTCACAATAGCTTAAAGTAGCAAAAAGAAAATTCCCTGTGATTGTTAATGGGGCCTCATAATACTGTCAGCATGTAAGCTATTACTTCATTGCCATATCCTAGGAAAAGCAGAAAGAAAAAGATTCGCTCCCTATCGAGGTTCCTAAGCAAGATCAGATCACTGCTTTCTCTTTGGGACTGGCCCACTCAATTTGTTTCATGAGGAAACTTCAGAAAGTTTGCAGGACAGAAAACTAAAAGACAAGGCAATTTTTAAAAGGTCCACGAAAATACATCCTATGAAAAAATATGTATGAATTTCAAATAATTTTGTGCTGAAGTAAACTTACCATTTAATTTCATCTTTCGTGAACTTTTTGAGGTACTCTGTGCCTCTGCAGACCTAGATCGATCATGTGCAATCACAGCTTGTTCTTTCTCCGACTGGAAGCACTGAGCATTAAGTTGACTCCGTTTTTGTAGAAATGAAGCTCTGTGAAATGTACTCATGTATAGATATTGACAATTATATGTTAATCTATAAATTTTCAACATTTTTTCTTCTGTATGTGTTTATTGGTTCTTCATTATTTGAAACAGTTGTGCTATTTTGCTAGATTCTAAATTAGCTAAACTAAATCTTTGGCATATTAAAATAAGTGAACAGTAAGATATTACAATATAAAAAAGAGCAGAACATCTCGGGCTTTCTCTTCTCCCTGTGAGAACACACATGGAGTAGAAACGGAATGGTCTGAGCCATGCAGGCCATGAACTTCTAGCTACTCAATTGCATCAATTTCTTTTCTCAGTGGAAGGGAGCATTGTCAAATGGAAGATGATCAAAATGTTGAACTGCTGAACAGGAACTATCATCCACTGGTTCCTGGACATCATCTACAAATTATCTGCCTGTGCCTTTTAGACTTTGGAAAGGAAGATCAACTGGTCTCATAGGACTTTCACCATTTCCTTCACTTACATTTCCCGCCTGAGGCGAATAATGCTGGACTCGTAATTAGCTTGAAAAATAGAAAGCAGAAGAATAAAATGGCGGGGAGGTGATGGGTAAAATTACAAACGCTAATAGATCAGCTGAAGTTCTGGCCCAACACGCATTGCTCACACAAAGATAATTGAGGAGAGTTCAATAAAGGAACTACTTACAAGGGCATAGGTGAGGTACAGGGAACCAGTAAGAGAGACAAAGCACCCATACAAGGACAATACAATGGTCAAGTGGACATTACCATTCCTTTATCCAAGCAGACAAGGAATAAGTAGCTGCCGGAATGTGGCCAAGACCAGAACTATACAATGGAGCTACATGAAAGCACTGTGACCTGAGAGAGAACAGCAAGCCACTGGCACACTGTGGTCCAGCAAGGTAGAAACTGAAGGAAAAAATACCTACCTTCCTGTCTCCAGGTGATTCCCCTGATTTAACTCTGAGAAGTTAATAGACAGGAGAGCTCTCTGGTGTCAGATAAAATGACATAGTCTTGACTTGTATTAATTGTATCATGTGACATAATTTGGTTATCTGAAAGAATAAGGTAAACATGCAAAAAAAGTATTTTTTGAGAAAACCATATATATAATTGGTTTTCCTTGTGAAATTTAAGTGGTCTATTTCCTGACATCACTATTATCCCTGGTCATCTTGGTCAGCCTGCTCTCAGGGTTTACTATGTCTCCTCTTCCCTTCAGGCTTCCCTCTGGGCTCCACAGTACAGTCTGAAACCAAGGGCATCTGGATGTGGTGCATGCCCCACCCCTCCAAGCCAGACCACACCCTGGTCCTCCTGGACACTGAGGGCCTGGGCGACGTGGAAAAGGTAAGGCCCAGAATGTTCTCTACTCCCAATTTCCTCTTACATGTTAGTTTGCCACATTACTTCACCTTCTCTCACACATTTCTCTAAACTGTAAATCATGAAACTAAATTCTGTTTCATCAAGATTCCTTTGTAACCCCAAATACTTTGATATAAAATGGAGAGATATTCTTCTTATTGTTAATGTTGGAGGGAATGATTTAAAAGAAATATGAATGAGGCCGGCGCTGTGGCTCACTAGGCTAATCCTCCACCTTGCGGCGCCGGCACACCAGGTTCTAGTTCCTGTCGTGGTGCCGGATTCTGTCCCAGTTGCCCCTCTTCCAGGCCAGCTCTCTGCTGTGTCCTGGGAGTGCAGTAGAGGACAGCCCAAGTGCTTGGGCCCTGCACCCCATGGGAGACCAGGAGAAGTACCTGGCTCCTGCCATCGGATCAGCACAATGCACCGGCCGCAGCGCGCCGGCCGTGGCAGCCATTGAAGGGTGAACCAACGACAAAAGGAAGACCTTTCTCTCTGTCTCTCTCTCTCAATGTCCACTAAAAAAAAAAAAAAAAAAAAAAAAAAAGAAAAGAAAAGAAATATGAATGAGCAAGTGGAATTCAGGGCTCTGCACTAAGTACGACAGATATAACTGTAAATAAGATAAAGGCCATAGCCTAGTTGTTGTTTTAAGAAATATGGAGTGTAATCAGTACAGGTTATCATACATGCAAAATGTGGAAAAATTCCAATCATTTGAGGTAGGGAAAGCTTTCTGGAGAAACCTCTATTCTACTGAATCAATGGAATCTTCTAAGTGTGTGAAGTTGATGAGATTAGAGGTAGGGATTATGAAAATAGGGTTCCTGTGAAGAAATCTATAAATCATCTTTAGAAAAACTTATGTTTGTCATTAAGACTTTAATCCAAGTCCTTGAACTTTGGAGACAAATTCTTCATGGAATTCTTCACAGGCATATGCTAGATTCAACATACATATACATATATACATATGTATATGTATATAAAATTTTAGGCATTTTATCTTCACAGATGTAATCAATATTTTCTCTTTATTAGTATGAGAGTAAACTGAAAAAAGAAGCAATAGATCTTTGGCTTCCAGTTCTGCAAAAGGATGGGAAAGAAGCACAGACTTAGAAATTATTAACTAGGGGCCAGCGCCGTGGCTCACTTGTTTAATCCTCCACCTGCGGCGCTGGCATCCCATATAGGCACTGGTTCTAGTCCCGGTTGCTCCTCTTCCAGTCCAGCTCTCTGCTGTGGCCCGGGAGGGCAGTGGAGGATGGCCCAAGTGCTTGGGCCCTGCACCCGCATGGGAGAGTAGGAAGAAGCACCTGGCTCCTGGCTTTGGATCAGCGCAGCGCTGGCCATAGCAGCCATTTGGGGAGTGAACCAATGGAAGGAAGACCTTTATCTCTCTCTCTCTCTCTCTCTCTCTCTCTCTGACTGGCTATATCTGTCAAAAAAAAAAAAATTCTTAACTAAAATGTTTGGTTTTAAAGTTCTTGATTATCAACTCATACTTGACATGGTATCAGCGATATGGATTGATTTAATAAATTGCAGTTTATATGAACTTTCTAATTCCTCTAATTTCATTTCCCAAGGAATCAAAGCATACTAAAATATGCTGACCTTTTGGCTTGTACTGTATTAGAGCCAAACCTTTCTTGTCATGACACATATCTCATTTGCAGCCTCCTCTTCCATTTTAGCATGTACACTCACTGCTTCCATCAAGGAGGATACCTCTTTAACACCTTTGTATGACTGTGAACAAACAATTCTAACTTGAACTCTGTTGGTTCTTTGCCTACTTGATCTCTTCGTTTCCATAAGTTCTTTTTCTATCAACTCTAAAGCTCAGCTATTTTCTACTTCCTGCCATCATGTGCCGGTTATAGAGAATCCCTTTTGCTTTGAATTCAGAATAATTATTCACATACATAGGCCTCCATATCAACTCATTTTTTTGTTCTTCTGTTTGTTTGATTTTACTTTGTAATTCTGGGTTCCACTCTGGGCAGGCATTATCAATTGGCTTCATATATATATATATATATATACACACACACATATATATATATACACACACACACATATATATACACACATACATATATATATATATATAAGATTTATTTTATTTATTTGAAAGACAGAGTTACAGAGAGAGGTAGAGACAGAGAGAGAGGTCTTCCATCCACTGGTTTACTCCCCAGATGGCCACAACGGCCGGAGCTGAGCCGATCTGAAGCCAGGAACCAGGAGCTTCTTCCGGGTCTCCCATGCAAGTGCAGGGGCCTAAATACTTGGGCCATCTTTTACTGATTTCCCAGGCCATAGCAGAGAGCTGGATTGGAAGTGGAGCAGCCCATATGGGATGCTGGAGCTTCAGGCCAGGGCGTTAACCCACTGCACCAAAGTGCCGGCCCCTATTGGTTATTTTTATATACTGACTTGTTTGTTGCCCTAAAAAACCATCTTCTTGAAGGTGAGGATTGTCATAAGGAAGTTAATAATCAGAAAACAAATGCAGGGCCCAGGGCAGTGAAGCATTGTTGAACTTCATGGCATAGCATTTGTGTCCTTAGTGTAGTCATGATTGAGAATAATTTTGCAGTAGGATTCTTGTGCACTTATTAGTGCATAGCTATATTCTAAGCACTTTATTAAATATTTAATGCACAATGACAGTGTCATTATTTGTTTCACTAGCTAAACAAACTGATACCTTGAATGATGTCAATATGCATATCAAAGTAAGATTTCTTTTTCAAGACAATCTCCAAAGGTTAATATTTACCCTACTGTATAACTGAGGCAGGGCCAAAAGAATGAATGAACATCCAAATGGATGAATGGGCTAATGAGTAGTAGATGTCCAATTCCCTTGTTCTAATGGGCTTCCCAGGGAGACCCTGAGAATGACTCCTGGATCTTTGCCCTGGCCGTGCTTCTGAGCAGCGCCTTTGTCTACAACAGCCTGGGCACCATCAACCACCAGGCCCTGGAGCAGCTGTAGTATCCTTCCAAAAACACAGCCCCCATGTTTCTCTGTTTAGGGGAATGGCAGCTGAGATTGCTGTTTCTTCCCTGAAATACAGTTTTTCTGGCTGAAGAACAGTGAACACAGGGGAAAAGGGAGTGTTTTTTTAAACTTGTTTGTAAATGAGATCTAGAATTTTTGCTGTAGTTTGAATCTCCTTAACTAACGTCCTAGCTACGTGGCTGAGCTATCACAGTTCATCAGGGCAAAATCTTGCCTCATATCTGAAGAAGTAGAGGACTCCACAGATTTTGTGAGTTTCTTTCCAGACTTTATTTGGGCTGTACGGGATTTCACCCTGGAGCTGAAGTCACACGAATGCCCCATCACAGAAGATGATTACCTGGAGAATGCCTTGAAACTGAATCCAGGTATCGGACTGTGGCTGTGGTTTGTGGTTCAATAGCAATGTGGTATTTTTTTTTTTTGGACAGGCAGAATGGACAGTGAGAGAGAGAGAGACAGAGAGAAAGGTCTTCCTTTGCCGTTGGTTCACCCTCCAATGGCCACTTTTATAAAGTTTAAAGTTCAAACTGTACATCCTGGAGAGTCCTTCAGAATAGAATCAGTTTCCTATCTTGAAGAGAATAGACAAATGAGGGAACAAGTCAGGCTTCCCAGATCACTTACAGTTATAATATCAAATGAAAAGTTAGCAGACATTTTAACTGTTAAACAACAGCTATGAAAACATTTACAAAAAGGTTCAATGCCTTCTATAAATTTCAAGAGTACATGTATTTGGAAACATCACTTAAATGTCTAACACAAATGTAACTTGTTTGACCAGCAAACCCAAGTACAAACATGCCAACAAATTTAAAACATCTGGTACAGAGATTTAGGTCATATGAATCAAAAAGGCATCTTTGATTGACTTAGCAGTTTAAATTGATGAGCAATATTTTATCTATAAGCCAATTTAAATGGAGCTCTTAATAAATAAATTTTCCCATGTATGTGCACATACAATATGTGCATATGCAGACACTTACTTTGAACATGATATATGCCACAGAATAATCTACAGGACAACGTCAAATCCAATATAATCTGATCTAGAGGAGTAGGGAGGGTCCCATTGATGTTGGAGATGACTCCCTAAAATCTATACAAGAATGTGGCCCCTTAAAGTTCCCCAGAAGCTCCACCTGGGGTGCCACATACACTACCAGAATATGGGGTGCCATATGATATCACCATATGCTTATTAATAAATCCCCAATATGAATAAGCCTGAGAGGGTTCTTGCCTAATATTTAGAGAAGAATTCTAAATACCAGCATCCATAAACGAGGCAGCATGGTACATTTTAGGCTTTTATTTAGTGAGAGAAATCATGGGAGAGTGAGAGCTTTATCTAAGAGAGAGGTAAATCTGGGTTCATAACGAGCACCAGGAACCAACCACAAAGAGGAGCATCTAGGCCAGGAAGCCTAGGGCACATGGCCTGAAGGCCACGAGCCCTGGAGGCACGGGGCTACAGCCAGCCCCCTCCTGGCAAGAGGCCAGGGCAAAGAAGAGGCCGGTACACACCATGTCACAGGCTTCAAACCCACTTCCAAAGGGGAGTGGTTAATTAACCTGATTGGCTGGTGGGCAACCAGGGGTGGCCAGGTAGGGGCATAAAGTCACACAGGGGCGTGGCAAAGGTATAGGGTAGGACGTGAGGTCACACAGGGGCGTGGCGAAAGTGTGATCTTCCAGCTCACAAACCTAATCGATTTTAACTTGTATGCCTGCCTACTTCACCATATTTTAGTTAGACTAACTTCACTTTGGAGATTTCCACTGAACTAATCTGTAAACATCATAATGGTGTGTGTGTTTGACTTTGATTTTGATTCATTTTCTTTACTGTATCATCTGCTTAACTTCTGACATGGTACTGCAATATTAGAAATGTTTTTCTGAAAATACATAATTGATTGAATATTCAACAGACAATTAAAATAGTCAATTTACCTCCCATAAAACAAGGACCAAGGACCCATGGTAAGTTTCTTCAGTTGTAATGGGTTCCTCCAATTCCGCTCAAGAGTACTTTCTTTACTCTCAGCTCTGTACACAAATGGATTCCCTGTGCTTTGGGTAGATTACCCTAAGGCTGCTTTGTAGGATTGAATAAAGAAAAACTTACAGACACAACAGTTGAAATAACACAAAGATTCCTTGAAAAGTCTTCAGCTCCTTTGCCTTCGAGCTGTCTCTTCAATAAATGCTCTTTTTTTAAATTCTACAGAAAATAATCCCAGAATCAAAAAGTCCAACATGTCTAGAACCTGCATCAGGTATTTCTTCCCAAAGAGGAAGTGCTTTGTCTTTCACCGACCTACGAGTGACAAAAATGTACTCGTGCATTTAGACAAAGTGCCAGCAAACCAATTGGAAAGGGATTTCCAGGAGCAAACAGAAAAGTTCTGCTCCTATATCTTCACCCATGCAAAGACAAAGACCCTGAGAGAGGGAATCATCGTCACTGGAAATTGTGAGTTTCTTCTGCCTCAAAGCATCTTTCTGTGGTTTCATGTGTGTGATAAAGCTATGGGTTTTCTGTACATTTGCTAGTAATTTGTTTTTCATTTGTAAAGGAATATACAGAAGGAGATGCTGCTACCAAGCTAAGAAATGCATGTTTCTGAAAGTTTCCCTGTATGAGTGTTCATTGAGTCCTGATTTATCTCACGAAAAAGTGATGCAAGCACAAAATGCTGTTAGAAGAATTTGCAAGTGGGAAATCTTATAGGAGAAGTGTTTCTCATGGAGGATACATAAAATAGTCTGTGAATTTGTCAGCCAAAACATAAACAGTAGGCCATAACCCAATGCACACTCCTGAGAGTATAAAAAAAAGGTTAAAACTAATCTTACATATAGGGCTGGCTTCCTGGACATATGAACATGTCAGTCATACAGTCCCTGTGCAGAGATCAGTTCATGTTTGGTTCAGTATGCTGTCTGGCTAGCTTCAAACTCCTAAAGATATTTTTAACCAAGGGACTAGCATTTTATTTGTAACTAAGACTCAAAAATTATGACATTTTCCTTCTTTGTCTAATAAGCTTTTCATTTATTTATTTATTCATTTTTCTTATTAGTAATTTAATTCAATAATTTGGTGAATTTGAAAATCATAAGTATGACAAGAAAAGACAGTCATGTTATTATACAGAGATAGATTCACAGAAAAAGATGGGAAATGAACAGAAGGAAAGGCAGGTACACATAGAGAGAAATATTACAGCAGAGAAGGAGAAGGATGGGGAGAGGTGTAGGAGAAGAGACAGTTGGTGGAGAAGGAGGAAAAGAAACAGAAGAAGTAGAGGAAGAAGAGGGAGGTGGGTAGGAGAAAAACCAAGAGAGTAAGAATTTTTGTCATTTTTAGAATGCTGATTCTTAAAGCTTGTGAAAACAATAAGCAAGAACTATCTACTCCCTAAACTATTAACTCCCTAAATATCTCCTGGCATTCAGGGCTTGGAAGACTGTTGGAGACCTACCTGGACGCCATCAACAGGGGCACGGTTCCTTGCTTGGAAAATGCAGTTACAGCTCTGGCTAAGCGTGAAAACGCAGCAGCTCTCCAGAAAGCAGCTGAACACTACAGCAGGCGGATGACCCAGCAAGTGAGGTTCCCCACAGACACGCTCCAGGAGCTGCTGGACGTGCACGCAGCCTGTGAGAGGGAAGCCACTGCAATCTTCATGGAGCACTCCTTCAAGGACGAAAAGCTGGAATTCCGAAAGAAACTTACCGTAGGCATCTTAGCATTTCTCCTTCCTGATTCCTGCCTTTCTGGAATGATGCCTCAAGTCCGCCTTTTGACCCCATAACCATCTCCCTACCATTGTAGAAGGCATCTGGATTCTTGAGAATGAAAGGGCTCTAAGGGCTACCTTTCACCCTTTTTCTAAATGAGGGGCACTTTATTTTTAAGGACTGCAAAATAAATTCCCATTAGTTTAACAGCTTAAACAACATATGTTACTATCACACAGTTCTGTAGGTCAGTCTTCCGTATGAAGGTGTCTTGGTCCTCTGCTAGTGGAGATGGACTGAAAGGTGTTGAATGGGTTTGGCCCACAAGTGAAGGCTTGTTGGGGGGAACCCCTTCATCTTTAAACTAGGAATGCTGCATCTTTCGTTACAAGTTGCTTTGGCTTCTTTTTTTGACACTAGCTAGGGAAGCTACTTTTTAAGTGCTCATGTGATTGGGTATTGACTGATAGGGTATTCTCCATTGTAAAGTTAACTTGTACAGACGAACATGACCTAATTACGGTAATACACATCATATTCACTAGCCCTGTGGCTGTGCAGTGTATGGACACCAAGAAGAAAGAAGTCTTAGGAGAAATCTGAATTTTGCCCTCCCCACCAGGCACCTGCATTGAAAGTTTGTCTTTCAGTCTGTCTAGATGTAATTTAAATAAACCTCAAAAATCTCTCAATTTGTATTGAGGAAACCCAGCTTGGTAGTACCTTTCATGTACAAACAAAAGCTCTGTTCGTATATGTTCACACATTCAAGCCACCATCAAAAGAATTCATGAAGAGTTCAAAAATCTGTTCAAAATACATTTAACCAATTCCTGGAGATTTATGTGCCTCTTCTATGCTAATATTTCTGTCCATAGCACCCCATGTGCTCTTAGGAAATTTTGATTCTAGCCAAAATACAAGTTTATATTATTTGATCTTGGTGGCTGGGTCCTTGTTAATCATACTATATTTTCAAGAGCCACAGAACTCAAATCTTCCAACCCATCCTTTTACAGATATTGATTGATCCTGTTCCCAGGAGAATTAAGGGGCTTTGCAAAGCTTAAAGAGATAATTGATCACAAGTGAGACTAAAACAAGTTTCCTGACTCCTGGTCCATGCTAGGTTCTGGTCCACTCTGAGGCCATCCACATGCTTCTCCCAAGTGCATCACAGGCAGGCCTTCCCTTCTAATAGCTATCATTTAATGTGTGTCTCTATGTTTCCCTGGCAGGACACCATAGAGAAGAAGAAGAAAGATTTCCTGCTGCAGAATGAAGAGGCCTCTGTCGAATATTGCCAGGCTGAACTTAGGCGGCTTTCGGAGTCCCTGATGGAAAGTATTTCAAGAGGAACCTTCTCTGTTCCTGGAGGACATCATTTTTACTTGGAAGCGAAGAAAAAGGTTGAACAGAACTATGAGCTAGTGCCCAATAAAGGAGTTAAGGTGAGGAGTATGGTGATATGGGGTGACACGCTGCTCCTTCTGAAAGTGAGGACCACAAATTCATTTGAGGACAGAGAGCAGAGAATGTCAGTAGCCGTGGTTTGGATGTGCTTTGTCCCTTAGTGGTTCTCAGTGTGACCATGTGAGTGGTGACGAGGCCTCTGGGAGATGGGGTCTAGTGGGAGGTTCTTAGGTCATTGGGAGCTGTCTTCAGAGGAGATTAGTTAAGGAAGTACTTAATTGGAATTAGTTAGTAGTACATTTAAAAAATGTATTTATTTGAAAGTTAGTCATTGGAATCCTGAATTAGTTCTTGTGAGATCAAGGTGTTATAAGTCCTGTGCTGACCCTGGAATCACCCTGTGGCTTCCTGTCTGGCAATATGATCTCTCTATTCTACACACCCCATTGCGATTCCATCCTCTGTGAAAGCCTGAGCCATCCTGGCCAGAGCCATGCTCAAGCAGGTGCTGGGCCCTTGAACCTCCAGACTATGAGCTAAATAAACCTCTTCTAAAGCAGCCTGCCTCACAAATTTATTTTCAATTATTGAAAATTGCCTCAATATTTTGACATTTCCGGTTTTTAAAAAATTTCATATTTAGTGAGATACTGCTAAATAAACCACACATATTTTTTCCTCAGAAAGGATCTGGAATCAGGAATCCAGGTTTAACAACCATTTCTTTTATTTATCAAGCAGAGGGATAGTTTTTGTGCTAAGAGCAGAAGACTAGTTTCCAGATGCTTCTCTTATCTGGACTGCACAAATTTGTAGTGCACTGTGTATGGTGTGGATGTGGTTACCCTACTGGCATGCACTCATACTAATGATGATGATGATGATGATGGTCTTCATGCCTAATACCCACTGCACATTCACTCCCTATCCTATGTATAGTTTTAGAATATTCTTATTGAATTATCTATTTCATTCTCAGAATGCTATAAATTAGGTACTAACATCATTCCCATTATGCAGGTAAGAGATGTGGTGCACAGAGAATTTAATACATTGCCTACAACTACAGAGCTAGCATATACAGAGCTGATAAGATTTTTCCATATACTTGAGGCCATTAGAAACTCAATTTTTTTCTTTGAGCTTTATCCTGTTTTCCATAATGCTTGTACCAATTTACATTCTACCCGTAGCTACACAAGAGTTCGCTTCTCTCCACGTCCTCATCAGCATTTGCTGTATCTCGAGTCATTGATAATAGTCATTCTAACTTTTGTGAACTGGCATCTCATTATGATTTGATTTGATATCCTGGGTGATTAGTGATATTCAACATGTTTTTATATACTAGTTACTCATTTGAATGTCTTCTTTTAAGAAATGTCTATAAATATATTTTGCCTATTTTAAAGGCAGATCCTTTATTTCTTGCTATTGATTTTGTATGAGTTACTCACGTGTGTTTAAAGCTAACTCCTTATGAGTTATGTCATTTGCCAACATTTTCTCCCATTCTTTATGTTGCCTTTTCATTTTGTTCATTGTTTTCTTTAGCTGCGGTAACATTTTAGTTAGATGCACTTCTGTTGTTGTTCATTTTTGTTTTTGTTGCCTGTGCTTTGGATGTCAAAGCTAAAAAAAAAAAAAAAGGCAAAAGCCAATGTCAAAGACTCTTTCCCTTATTTTTCCTTCTAGGATTTTACAGTTTCAAGTCTTATGCTGAAATCTTCAAATCTTAAAATAAGGGGCCAATCTCATTCTTTTGTATATCTAGACTTGAAGAGACTGTTGTTTCCCTGACGTGTATGTCTGATACCTCCTTTCAAATTAGTTGACCAAATATGCATGAGCTTATTTCCAGGCTTTCTGTTCTGTCCATTGTTCTATTATCTGCCTTTATGCTACTACCAGATTTAGAAATCTGATAACGTGATGCCTAATGTTTTGTTTTGTAATTCAAGAGTGTTTTGGCAGCTCAGTGTCTTTTGTGCTTCCATGTAAATTGTGGGATTGCTTTTATTATTTCTTTAAAAACATTAAAATGTATGGGACTGGCATTGTATCACATTGGGTTAAGCTACTTCCTGTGACACTACATCCCATATCAAGAGTGCCAGTTCAAGTACTGGCTACCCTGCTTCTGATCCAGCTTCCAGCTAATGTACATGGCAAGACAGAAGATGATGGTACAAGTCATTGGGCGCCTACCACTTATGGATGAAATGAAAATCCAAAATTCTTTCTTTGGCCTAGCCCAGCCCAAGCTATTGTGACCATTTGAGGCATGAATCAGCAGATGGAAGATGTGTGTCTCTCTTTCCCTCCCTCCCTCTCTCTGTCTCTCTCTCTCGCTCTCTGTCTCTCTGTAACTCTGTCTTTTGAATAAATAAATAAATATCAGAAAAGAGAAGTAAATAGATATCTTTCCCCCTCTCTGTTGTTCCATTTTTCAAATAAATACATAAGTTAAGTCTGCAAAAAATTGATTAAGATGTCATTGGAATTTTGGGAATTGTTTTGAACTTCATATCACTTAGAATAATGTGGATATTTTAACAATGCTAAGTCTTCTAACCAATTAACATGAGGTATCACTTTATGTGTTTTTTCTATTCTTCAATTTCTTTCAGCATTTTTCTATACAGATCTTTCACTTCCTTGGTAAATTTATTCCTAACTATTTCATTATTTTAATGTAGTTATGAAATGGATTGTTTCCTCACTTTTTCACATCATTAGTTGTTAGTGCAGTGGATTACTTTACATTGATTTTATGTCTTTTGACTTTATCAAGTACGTGTAATAATTTTAATAGTTTTCAGTGGGCTTCCAAGTATATGTACAAATGAAATATAAATCAGTGTCTTGAAGAGATATTTCTAGTCCCATGTTCATTACAGGATTATTTGTTGTAACCACTATATGGAGACAACCTAAGTGCTCATCAACAGATGAACTATTATGTGTGTGTGTGTGTGGTATACATATGTACATGTGAATATTATTCAGCCTTTTAAAAAATGTATTTATTTGAAAGTTAGTGACAGAGAGAAAGGGAGATTAGAGAAAGAGATAGGGAGAGATTGATCAATCTTCAATCCATTGGTTCACTGGTTCAATCCCCAAATGCCCATAACACCAAGATTGAGTCAGGTCAGAACCAGGAGCCAGAAATTCCATGCAGGTCTGTTAGTAGGGTGTCAGAGACCCAAGTACTGAGGTCATCATCCATTTCCTGCCCAGGCACATTAGCAGGAAGCTGGACGGGAAGTAGAGTAGGTAGGAGTTGAGCTGGTGCTCTGGTATGGGCTGCAGGTTCTCCAAGGTGGCTTAACCTGCTGTTCCACAATGCCTTCACTATTACAATGTTAAAAAGAAGAAGATCTTCCCATTTTTGACAAGGAGAATGAATATAGAGAACATTACACTAAATGAAACAAGACAGACAGAAAAAACAAACAATACATGATTTACTTTTATGTGGAAGACAAAGGAAAATTGAACTCATATTAACAGAGAGTAAAATGATAGTCACCAGGGCCTGGAAAATGACAGAAATGTGAATATATTGGTCAATAATTACAAACATTCAAGATCATGAGATGAATACATTCTGGACATTTAGTGTACATCAGGGTGAACACAGTTCAAAGGGTGTACACCTGTAATTTATAAGAGAGATCTCAAGTGTCCTCCCTACAAAAAAAATAAAATATATGTAAGGTTGTAGACATGTTAATTAGCTTTATAATTAACTCGATACAATACATTCATATATACATCAAAATGTCATTTGTATAATTCCATCATACTTCAATAAAACTAGGAAAGAAAAACTCAGAAGGCAGCTTAGAAAAGCTTCCTGCTGGTGGAGATAAGAACTGCATGTGTATGCATCCATGGATATATCCTAATTAAGACAGAGTAGAAGACCATCAATGAAGAAGAGAACCAATGTGCAAATCTTATAAGCAGAACAGGGTATGTGTCTATAAAACTGCAAATAAATCTCTGTGGTTCTGAAGTGGGATGGGGACAGCATTGCTGTGGAGAGGAGACTGGATAGCTAAGCAATCTGCTCTGCAGGGAGTCTAGTCCTCACCAAACAGCTTGAGTTTCTGCTGTGGTCTGAGAAGGTTGGAAAATTTACAGGGTCAGATCGGTGCTTTATTGAACAAAAGTGTCCACATCAGAAAACTAGTTGTTGATACCTAACATGCTTTTTACTCTCGGTTGGTTTCCCAGGCAAATGAAGTGCTACAGAGCTTCCTGCAGTCACAGGCAGCAACAGAGAACTCCATCCTGCAGGCAGACAACGCCCTCACTGATGGGGAGAAGGCCTTAGCAGGTACAGGGCCAGTGCTCAGCTCATGGTGGGTGGGTAGATTCCTGCAGTCCCCTCTTATGGATTGGACAGGGTGGTTTACCTGGAGCATGAGGCTTCATCCAACTGTGGAGCCCATGCTCAGCTAAATCTGAAAATAGCAAGAGTAGTAGGTTGCACATCCCCCCAGTCAGTGCCTTTCTGGAGCATTCTGAAACGTGCTCTTGCAGCGTCACTAGTAGAAATTCAGAGCTTCCCCTTCCAGTGTTACTTTCCAAGCTGCTTGGTCTTGAACTCAGAGCTGTTCTTTCTTCCCTTGTTAAAACCTCTGTGGAACAGCTGAGCAGGCCAAGAGGGAAGCGGCTGAGAAGGAGCAGGAAGTGCTAAGACAGAGGGAGAAGGAGCAGCAGCAGATGATGGAGGCTCAGGAGAGGAGCCTCCTGGAAAACATGAGCCAACTGAAGGAGAAGATGGAGAAGGAGACAGCAAACCTCCTGAGCGAGCAGGAAGGCATGCTGGAGCACAAGCTCAAGGTGAGTCTGCAGGGGCCGGGTGGTGCCTGCGGTCAGTGCCCCGGAGCGCAGCAAGGGACAACCAAATCTGGAGCACAGGTGTGATCCCAGAGGGAACCTAACGCTTAACATTCCCCTGCAAACGCAACTACATCTGGATCCTACCAGAGTACAGAAATCTAGAAGATTCCAGTCCTTTCCGTAGTGGTGGACACTGGAGGGCACAAATGACATCCCCAGGGTTGGGGCTATTAGTTGTTGCTATTGTGGGATGGTCTCACTGAGCCCCAATTCCATGTGATGCTAGTTGCTAGTACTCAAGAGCTCCTGGCACAACTTTCAAGGAGACCCCACAGAGACCCAGCTGGTCTGAAAGGATTAAATTTGACTTGAGAGAAAGTGGCGAACCCTGAAAGCCCTGAGTCTGCTCCATGTGCTTCCAGATCTGCCCGATTCTTCCTTTACGACTAAAGTCACATGCATTCTTTGCCCCAGCATGACGCTCAATAAGCAGTGTCCTGTGCTGTGCCAACACTTCCACTCACTATTTGCTAGATAAGCTCAGCTGGGCTACCTCAGTGGAACTGAGAATTAATTAGAATTTAACCCACATTCCTTCCCAATGGGCTTTGTTGGTGCTGGAACTCCCCGCCCCCAGGGAAATGGTGCTAAGGAAATCTCACAAAAATATAAACCACGGGTTTTCCCACTATTTAAGTTAAGATCTCTGAACATATTGGATAAACTCAAAGATCACCCTGAAATGGTAGAAAAATAGACACATGTGCTTAACTGCTGACTTTGTTAAATGCTAAACATTGTCTCTTAATTGGGGATTTAAAGCATGGAGTTTTTCCATTTTATAGCTCCAAGAAGAAATGCTCACGGAAGGATTTAACAAGAATGCTGAGGCATTAAATAAAGAGATAAATCGGCTAAAGCAAGAGATTGAAGCAACTAAGAATCAGGGATCCTCATGGTTTTCATGGTTTCTTGATACCGTGGGCACTGTATTCACCATCGTATTACCTGGCCCCGCTAAGCTGCTTGGTTTGGCGATGCGATTTATCAGTTCACAAATTAAATAGGCTGAGAATTCCTGGTAAGGAAATTATAAAATATGGCTTCTTTTGATTTAATAGCATTACACTGTGGCTCATTGTAAAATATGTGCATTATTCTTAACAATTTGTTTAACAGAAGTGTAAAAGAAATTTAGAATTGTAATGAGCTATGGCTATTATTATTATATTAGGATATATCTTCCTTATCTAAGGAAGTTATCATTATCATACTAAGAATGAACCTTCCTCTTTCATTTTATTTTTATGATTTTGTAAATGTTTTAAAGATTGGGGCCAGTGCTGTGGCACAATGGGTTAATGCCCTGGCCTGAAGTGCCGTAAGATGAAAAGAGAAATATTTTTATAAAAAAAGAATGGGCATTTGGCCTAGCTGTGAAATAATGATATGCAACGTGTGTATATTTGTATGACTGAAATTTAGAATGTAATACTTACATGAATATATTACTGTCAAATTTGGATAAATATACAACATAAACTAGTCTTCATGGACAAAACAGGAAGGGATAAGAACAATGGAGAAATGACGGGATAATTGACTTTAATCCTATGTTCTTCTATGATGTTTACTAAAACTAAATCTGAAATGATAATACAAGGATGGGACAGTCCCCATGACAGATAACAGTACTGCATGCTACTAGACAGCATAATTCAGATCAATGGGAAAAGTTTGCAGTTCATTTTTTAATTTTTTAAAGATTTTATTTATTTATTAGGGAGAGTTACAGAGAGAGGGAGAGACAGAGAGAAAGTTCTTCTATCCACTGGTTTATTCCCCAAATGGCCGTAATGGCCAAAACTGAACCCATCTGAAGCCAGGAGCCAGGAGTATATTCCAGGTATCCCACATGGGTGCAGGGTCCCAAACACTTGGACCATCTTCCACTGCTTTTACAGGCCATAAGTAGAGAGCTGGATGAGAAGAGAAGTAGCTGGGACACGAGCCAGTGCCCTTATTGGATGCCGGCACCACAGGTGGAGGCTTAGCCTAACACACCACAGTGCTGGCCCTGCAGTTTATTTTTAAATAGTTTATGGAAATACTGAATATATACCAACAATGAATATTAGGTTACAAATAAATGAGTTTTTTGTCATGTGAACACACTGATAATTATCACCCGAGTTAAGAACAAAACATGATAGGAGGTTTTCAGTAAGGATTTAAGAAACTCATAAACTGCACTAATTGAATGTTTATGCTGTTGTCTATTGTTTCTAATGCTTTAAGTCTGTCCCCTTCAATTAAGGTATAACAAGTATTTTTTTATTTAAATGGATATGGCATTCTGTTGATAGCAGCTTCATCTTCAATGTTATCTTGTTCTTTTTAAAAATGAGTAAACTGGGTGAGCTCAAGGCCCTGGGTTGAGATACCTGTATCTCATATAGGAGTACCCAGGTTCAAGTTCCAGTTTCATTATCAATTACAGCTTCCTATTAAAAACACATGGTGGAGGACCGGCACTGTGGCTCACTTGGTTAATCCTCTGCCCGTGGCGCCGGCATCCCATATGGGTGCCGGGTTCTAGTCCCAGTTGCTCCTCTTCCAGTCTATCTCTCTTCTGTGGCCCAGGAAGGCAGTGGACGATGTCCCAAGTTCTTGGTCCCCTGCACCCTCATGGGAGACCAGGAAGAAGCACCTGGCTCCTGGCTTCGGATTGGTGCAGCGCCGGCTGTAGCGACCATTTGAGGAGTGAACCAATGGAAGGAAGACCTTTCTCTCTGTCTCTCTCTCACTGTCTATAACTCTACCTGTCAAATAAAAAAATTAAAAAAAAAACACACACACACAGTGAAAAGCAACAGTTTATAACCCAATTAATTGGGTCCCTGTCATCCACATGGATGACATAGATTGGGTTTCTAAACTCTGCCTCCAGCTTGACCCATCCCCAAATTGTTGTTGGCATTTAGCATCCTGTTTCTTAAATAAATTAATGAAGAATTTTAAAGATTGTAAATAATACAATACTTTCACAGAAAATAAATAAACTACTGAAGTTTTGGCAGCGTTGTACATACAAAGTTTTAAAAGTATCAGTGATTCCCCATTCTTCCACCCAAGATTCACTGTAAATAAGATGTTTATGTTTGCTTCCATTTTGGCAAAATTTATGTTGCTCTTATTGGGGATCTTTTCAAACTGTTGTATTATCCTTGTTAGTGTGTTATCCATAAACTAGATCTGTCTCAGACACATTATAACAAGTTAATATGGCTTTATTTGTGTGCAAAAAATTGAGATCATGAACATTTTGAAGATCTATCATACACATCATAATTTCAAGAAACATAGGCTTCCTCATGTAATTTTTTTTGTGTCAAATGGGATATGTTCACTGACAGATTCCAACATATTTTGCTGTTCTACAAAGTTAAGAATCCCAAACTTGATAAACTTCAATTCAGATCCAAGATGGCTGAATAGGGCACAGACACATTGACGCTGGGCTGACTTCAGCTGATCTGGAATATGAGTAGAATAAAGGACCACATTTCCAGGGATCTCACTGATGGGAATTTTTGACAGAAAAGTGACAATACAATGAAGACTGCAACAAGAAGAAAGAAGACAGATACACTGCAGTGGCCTGCCTTCTTGTAAGTGAGTCACCATCTAACCAAGTCAACTTGGAAGAAAATGCTCTGTGCTTTTCTCTTTATTTTGTCTGATCGAGTTATTTCAGATGTCTTGTCCTCAAGGTCAGAAATACTCTTCTCCATTTGATCCATTCTGCTCTTAAAGCTCTCAATCATATTTTTATTTCATTGATTGAAAATTTCATACCCAAAATAAGAAAGTCTATGTGAAATATGGAATACTATTATACAAAAAATATTCATATTTCAGGTATTCCTGAGGGAGAAGAAAGGAAAAAGGTTTTGAGAACCCGCTAAACAAAATAATATTTGAAAATGTTCGAGATCTTGAAAGAGATATAGAAATCCAGGTACAAGAAGGTTAATTGTCCCAAGCAAACTTGACCCAAAAAAATATTTTCCAAGGGATATAATAGTACAATTGTCAAAAGTTAAGGTCAAGTAGAGAATCTTAAAGACATTAAGAGGAAAAGCATCAAGTTACATATATAAACAAAAACCAACTTGATAAACATCAGACTTCTCAGGGGAAGTCCCTACAGGCAGAGGAGAGTGGGACAATATATTCAAGGTCTTAAAAGAAAAAACATTCCAACCAAGATTATTATATACAGCAAAGCTATCCTTTAAAAGTGGAGGATAAATAAGGAATTTCCACATAAGCAAAAACTGAGAGAATTCACTCTTACCACTCCTTTATAAGAAATTCTGAAGTAAGTCCTGAACTAAACATCATGGAAACACATGACATCACCAAATTCACTAACAAGCAGGTATAATAAGTATCTGATCATCAAAATGACAGATGTTAGGCCTTTTCTAGTAATACTAACCTTGAATATAAATGAACTAAACATTCTAACTGGAAGACTTAGATTGGCTGAGTTGATTAAAAAATCAATATCCCACTTATGCTGCCTACAAGAAACTCACTTCACAAATAAAGATGTATATAGACATAAAGTGAATAACTGGAAAAATATAAAGCAGACAAATAGAAATAAAAAACAAGCAGGAATAGCTATTCTGATATCAGATAAAAGACTTTAAAACAAAAACTGTAAAAAGAGTTAAAGAATGACATTACATTTAGATAGAAGGTTTGATTCAGCAAGAAGACAAAACAATCAATATATATGCACTCAACACAAAACCATCCAGATATATAAATAAATACTACTAGACCTAAATAGAGAGATAGAGCCCAACACAATAATGTGAATGACTTCAGCATCCCACTGTCATCAATAGACAGATCATCCAGACATAAAATCCATGAAGATGCATCAGAGTTAAAGCATACTATTGAGCAAATGGACCTTAAGGACATTTCACCCGAAAACTGCAGAATATACATTCTTCTCATTGGCACATGGAACATTTTATAGGCTAGATGACATATTAGGCCATGAAATAAGTCTCAGTTCTTTAAAAATTGAAATCATACTATATGTCTTTTCAGAACAAAAAGGAATAAAACTAGAAATCAACAATAAAAATAACAATAGAACACTCATAAATACCTGGAAATTAAGCAACATGATACTACTGAGTGATCATTGAGTCACTGATGAAATTAAAAATGAAAAAAACTTTCTCAAAATAAATGCAAATGAATACACAACATAGCAAAACCTAAGAGATGCAATATTAAGAGAGAAGTTTATAGCATTATGTGCTTACATTAAAAAAAGAAATGTCTTAAATTAAAGATCTAATGATGCATCTCAAAGACTTTGCAAAACAAGAATAAACCAAACTCTAAGTCAGCAGGTGACCAGAAATAATAAGGATTAGGGCAGAAACAAATGAAATTGAAACAAACAACAAATCTAAAAGCTCAACATAACAATAAGCTGCTATTTTGAGAAGATAAAGAAAATAAACAACGAGCTAGACTAGCAAAGAAAAAAGAGAAAAACTCAGATAAATACAATTAGAAATAATAAAGAAAACATTCAATCAACACCAATGAAATACAAATTATCATAAGAAACTACTTTGAAACACTGTATGCTAATAAACTGAAAAACCTCAAAGAAATGGATACAGGTGACTGACCAAGATTAAATCAAGAAGATATAGACAATCTAAATAGACCCATAGGAAGCAATGAAATTGAAGCACTAATCAAAAGTCTTCCATCGAGGAAAAGTAAGGAAAGTAAGGCTTTACTACTGAATCATACAAAACATTCAAAGAGGAAAAAACTGATATTTTTCAAACTATTCCAAAATATTGAATAGGATGGAACTCTTGCCAAACTTTTTTATGAGGCCAGCATCACTTTGATACCAAAATCGAACCACCAAGACATAACACAAAAAGAAAAGTACAGACCTTTATTCTTTATGAAGATATATGCAAACATTCTCAACAAAATACTAGCAAATTGTATCAAGAACCACATCAGAAAGATCATGCATCATGATCATGTGGGATTTACACCACAAATGCAAGTGTGGCTCAACATTCATAAATCAATAAACATCATAAATCACATCAACAGAATGAAAAACAAAAAGAATATAGTCATTTCAATAGAAGCAGAAAAAATAATTGATAAGATTCAATGACTTTCATGATAAAAAAAAAACCTCCAAAACTAGGTAGATAAGTAACATACCTCAAAATTATAAAGGCTATATATGACAAAACAACAGCCAATATCATAGTGAATAGAGAAAAGTTGAAAGCATTTCCTCTCAGACCTGGAACAGAGCAAGGATATCCAATTTAACTGCTGTCATTCAATGTAGTACTGGAAGCTTTAGCAAGAGCAATTAGGGACGAGACAGAAATGAAGGGCATCAAAACTGGAGAAGAGGAAGTCGAAGCATCCATACTTGCAGATGACAAAGTTGTATGTGGAAAAACCTACAGTTTAAATAGAATTTATAAGACAATTCAGTAAAATTGTAGGTTATAGAAGAGACACACAAAAAACAGTTGCATTTTATATGCTAATGATGAACTCACTGAAAGAAAGATCAAGAAGTTCCATTCTGCTATAGACTACATGCCCCATAATTTCTTTATCCTGTCTACTGTTGATGGGCATTTGGGTTGGATCCAGGTCGTAGCTATTGTGAATTGAGCTGCAATAAACATTAATGTGCAGACAGCTTGTTTGTTTGCCAATTTCATTTCCTTTGGGTAAATTCCAAGGAGTGGGATGGCTGGGTTGCATGGTAGGGTTATATTCAGGTTTCTGAGGAATCTCCAGACTGACTTCCATAGTGGCTTAACCAATTTGCATTCCCACCCACAGTGGGTTAGTGTCCCTTTTCCCCCACATCCTCTCCAGCATCTATTGTTGGTAGATTTCTGAATGTGAGCCATTCTAACTGGGGTGAGGTGAAACCTCATTGTGGTTTTGATTTGCATTTCCCTGATTGCTAGCGATCTTGAACATTTTTTCATGTGTCTGTTGGCCATTTGGATTTCCTCTTTTGAAAAATGTCTATTGAGGTCCTTGGCCCATCTCTTAAGTAGGTTGTTTGTTTTGATGTTGTGGAGTTTCTTGATTTCTTTGTAGATTCTGGTGATCAACCCTTTATCAGTTGCATAGATTGCAAATATATTTTCCCATTCTGTCGGTTGTCTCTTCACTTTCCTGACTGTTTCTTTTGCAGTACAGAAACTTCTCAATTTGATGCAATCCCAAATGTTAATTTTGGCTTTGACTGCCTGTGCTTCTGGGGTGTTTTCCAAGAAGTCTTTGCAAGTACCTATATCTTGCAGGGTTTCTCCAATGCTCTCTAATAATTTGATGGTGTCAGGTCGTAGATTTAAGTCTTTAATCCATGTTGAGTGAATTTTTGTGTAAGGTGAAAGGTAGGGGTCCTGCTTCATGATTCTGCATGTGGAAATCCAATTTTCCCAGCACCATTTATTGAATAGACTGTCCTTACTCCAGGGATTGGTTTTGGATCCTTGATCAAATATGAGTTGGCTGTAGATGTTTGGATTGATTTCTGGTGTTTCAATTCTGTTCCATTGGTCTATCCATCTGTTTCTGTACCATGCTGTTTTGATTACAACTGCCCTGTAGTATGTCCTGAAATCTGGTATTGTGATGCCTCCGGCTTTGTTTTTGTTGTACAAGATTGCTTTAGCTATTTGAGGTCTCCTGTGTCTCCATATGAATTTCAACATCATTTTTTCCAGATCTGAGAAGAAGGTCTTCGGTATCTTGATTGGTATTGCCTTGAATCTATAAATTGCTTTTGGGAGAATGGACATTTTGATGATATTGATTCTTCCAATCCATGAGCATGGAAGATTTTTCCATTTCTTGGTATCCTCTTCTATTTCTTTCTTTAAGATTTTGTAATTTTCATTGTAGAGATCTTTAACGTCCTTGGTTAAGTTTATTCCAAGGTATCTGATTGTTTTTGTAGCT